TATATATATGGTAAAAATTAATAATTTAAAATATCAATTATTATTATTAGTATTATTATTTATTTTATTTTAAAATAAAATAAATTAAAAAACGGAAAAAAATTAAATATGTTTTTTAAAATTTCGGATGTGAATTAAAAAAAAAGGAAAAAAAGAAATATAGAATTAAAAAGTAAAATTAAAAGTAGGTGAAAATTATTTAATAAAATGGTAAAAGAAAATGGAAAATTTAAAAAAATAAAAGTATAAGAATGTATAAATTTAAAAAAAATGAAAAGTAAAAGAAAGTTGTAATTAAAAAATAAAAGTAAATGTAGCTGAAAATTGTTTTAAAAAAAAAGTAAAAGTAAGTGAAAATTAAAAAAAAAGAAAGTAAAGTAAAATAAGTGGGAAATTAAAAAAAAGTAAAAAAGTGAGAATTTAAATATAATAAAAGTAAAAAAGTGAGAAATTAAAAAATAAAAGTAAAGAAAAGTGGGAATTATTTTTCAAAAAAAAAAAAGAAAAAAAAATGGGAAGTGGGAATTCTTTTTAATTAAAAAACTAATAATAATAATAAAACAAATCTGAAAATTCCGAAATATTTTTTATAAATAGAAGAGAAATGTGAGGAGAAAAAAAGAGAGAGAAGGAGAAAAAAATAGGGAGGAGGGAATTGAGAGAAATGATTTTGCTTATTCTACGCTAAGAGAATTTCTATTCGTGTCATTCTTTCTTCGACTTTCTTTCGAAAAAATCCAGCAATCCATCACCATACTCTAAACTCAAAACCAACTGGAAACCAAGCTAAAAAGCACGACAAAAATAAGCCGAAAATCCAGCAAAATAGTCCCCTTTTGTACAGAAAATAACAGCTCCAAAGTTGAGTCGTCGAGTTCGAGCTCCATTTGTCGATTTTGGTCGATGCTCCATTTGCATCCTTGTCCATTATCCAAGCTTCAAAACAGTCTTGTAAAGGTCCATTTATCCCATCATTGTTTTGCTAAGATATTATGCTTGATTATATAATTTGATCTTATTTAGCTTCATGAAGATTGAATTTTTTTTTTCTGTATTAATTGTTAGATCTCATTAGCTTTGTTAAATTTTGTTACTTTCTTGTTTGATTAACATGAAGATTGATGAAAATATAATTTTTGGGTACGTAGTGAATGTTTGAACTTTGGGGATAAAATCCATGTGTGCTAGTTGAAATTGAAAACTGAGGTTTGGACTTTAAAAAAAAAGATGATTGGGCCCGCTGGTTAGGCTTTGCTTAATGAAATATGTACTACTGCAATTGACTAATGAATAGTGGAGTAACTTGATGAACTAGTAACTGGGCATACTCATTAATTGGCTTTAAAAAGTCAATTGTGCTATGATCAATTTTAAGTTATCTGGGCCAGAATAATTAAGAGCAAAAGCTTATCCTTTTTCACAATTGATTTCATAATTCATGGCCTCACTAATCTCAAATCTTAGGAGAATAAATAATATCCGAACCCCGTAGCTTGCTTTAGGCGCGATTAATAATAAATTATCGTGACTATGGGTACGGTTCCCGTAGCATAGTCATGATACATAATTCTAAACTCAAGTGCGCGTTTCACGCGACTTGATCCCAACTTCAAATAATAAAAATTAACATGTTGTAGATTGCGGGTGCGTTTCACGTGGCGCGATTCGCAATATGTTCAAAAACAAATGAGTGTGTGATATCGCGACTTGTTTAAATAAATTCTATAATTGTTTAAAATAATTAAAAGCTATATAGAAGCATTAACACATAAAGGGTTCTAAAACATGTAATAAATCAGATAATTAGGCCAATTATTAATAGTTGAGCGACCGTGCTAAAACTACGAAATCTGGGAGTGCCTCACACCTTCTCCCGGGTTAACAGAATTCCTTACCCGGTCTTCTGATTATTGTGGACCTTAAAACAGAGTCAAATTTTCTCGATTTGGGATTTAAAATAAGCCGGTGACTTGGGACACTATCAATTATTCCAGGTGGTGACTCTAAACTAAATTAAATAATCCCATTTCGATTAATGTCACTTTAATTGGAAAAACTCCCTATCCCCCGGAAAAAAGGAGGTGTGACACCAAGTACAAGATGAAAGAAATGAAGGGTGCCCTGGAGGAGAGATTTAAGCTAAATGTGAGTCAGTCAAAATTAAAAAGTTAAAATTAGAATAAAAATGCAAGTATCCACGCAGTGAAGTATTCCGCATTGAACATCAAATACTTTTTCAATTTATAAGTTTTTTGAGATTTTTTAAAAATGAGTGTCAAAAACCAAAAAGTACTACTTTTTTAATTCCAAGTACTACTTTTTTAAGAATAAAAAATAAATAATCCAGAATCGAGAAATCAAAAAAACATTGAGAAATCAAGAAAACATTGAGAAATCAAGAATATAAATCAAGAATCGAGCAAAAGTTCAAGAAGTGAAAGAATTAGATGAATAAATCAAGACGTATTTCATAAATCATTACAATTTCGTCCCATAATCCCTAATGTGGTACAGAAAAAATTGGAAGTTCATACCTAGAGGTGGCGATACCCTCGCAAAGCTCTCGAGGACAAGTATACACAGCCTTGTACAGCCATGAAGAAGCATCAATACCTACCTTGCTGTCCTTTAAAGTATGGATCCGATCTCTTTCATCAGTGGCTGCACACCCTTTGTAAAAGTTATCTCGAGGTTAGCTAATACCCCAAATCAAATATGGGATAAAATTAATCTCAAGCCTTATTTCGGGATTATTATTCTTATCCCATGTTCCAAACGACCTCTTAAAATTTTGGATTAGACGCTCAGATTCTTTCACATGATATCAGAGCCAAACTTTAGTGGGCACATCAGCACAACCACTTCATCTCTTCATGTTTGCTCTGGGCTTCTCTCCTCAACTCAGTCCATTGAACCGTTGAGACCATTCTCCTCTTAGCTCCAAGCCACTCTTTAGCGTGTTGTGCACGATCTCTATTCAATCTTAAAAAATATTCAGTTCACGTGTAAATTCTAAAACCAAGTTACACGTTCTGGATGGTCTTAAAGAAATACAGTTGTCTTTCATCAATTGTGCAAGATTTTATAATATCTTCGGACCTCTCCATATATTGCCTTAAGGTTTTTAGTTTGAAGTTTAAATTCTTTTAAATAAAGTAAGAGTTATACCGGTCCAACTAATATTGATATATAATTAGGCTGAATTATATAGATAGTATAAGCAACCTTTACACTATCACTTGTGTAATTTAAATCTTTCCTTATGTGCTTTAGTACTTTGACTTTATGTTGAAGTGTAAATTTAGTTATTTTATATGCCATTCAAATTATAATTAGTTCTTTCCCTTTTTTAAAAAAATTTATTAAACTTTGTTCTTAATAATGATATAAAGTTTAATTATCCAAAAACTTCTCCTTTAGCTACATGTATGGAGGAGGAGCTGGAACAATGACACTGGATGAATTGCATTCACTTGAAAAATACCTTGAACTTTGGATGTTTCATATTCGTTCAGCAAAGGTAATAATTTCATGAAATAAATAGTTTATCAATATTATTTAGTGCATTTTTATTTATGTGATATGAGAGTTGTTATTTTAGTATATGTTAAATTTAATGCCCTTTGAAGTTACTGGTATGTTTATGTAATTAGTATTTACATGATTGACTATTTTAGTTTTTTTTTAATTTACAGTAAAAAAATCTTAAAATGATTTGATTTGGCCAATCAAAAATTAAAGCAAATTCAGTAAAAGGGATATTTAAAAAATGATGGAAAAATATACTTGAACTAAATACACATAGCATTGCTCAATTCATTTTTTTGTTTTTGTATTTAGTTAACATTTTGAAGAGACTGACCAAAATAGTCAAAATTTTCTTCTCATTAGTTCAAGTTGTTATAAGTTTTTGGGCCCAAATAGATCAGAATAACATGATATGGACTCATTAATTAAAAGGGTTAAGAATTAACCCAATTAGCCGCCCACTCAATCGCTTAAACAAAAAATAGCCGAAGGAGGAATAATATATGTATAATCTATGTATATGCCTAAAAAAGTAATAATAAATATGACTGGTTACTTGTGTAAAGATCCCCTGACCACCGAAGTACTTGTGAATCCCTTTTTCCTCGGGAAATATTCTGTTATTTGATTATTTTTGCTGAAATGAAATTTTTTAGAAATTAAAAATGTTTTTTTGTTTCTAAAAAAAGAAAGAAATAGCATATATTCTGGAGAGTTACAAAGGGGACACAATTAATTATGCAAGAGGTACATCTTTACCAAACTATCTCTCTATAAATTGATGATTAATTAATTATGTACTTCAATATGTTTAAATCAACATAAAAATCAAATAATTATGTAAGATGCTCAATATTATTACTTTGATTCAACTGTATTTATATTTGTTAAAATTCTTAATTTTTTTCACCTTTTATTAAATAAAATTGAAAAATTATTAAAATAATCATAATAAATATTTAAAATAATTGACTTATTTAAATAACACTAATTGTACAGTGAATTAATATATGCTCTTTTCATAGTTTGACACTCAAAAGCGCCTTTTAGTAATATTAACAAAACAAAAGCTATTTTTGTAATGCTGAGAAAAGTGCGTCTTAAACGGATTGTTGAAATGCAAGCTGCTACTTCCAACTTACTTCTCTAAAAATCTAATTTTACAAAAAACATTCAAAATAAGCAGATTTTAGAAGTTTGGCCAACTTGTCTTTAAATAATAATATTATAAATGCAAATGTCATTTATATATATTTTGTAAATTGTGATATTAGTTGCAAGTAGAAGACTTCTACACGGGAGCGGATGCAACATATAGTTATCGGGTTCAGCTGAACCCAGTATTTTTGATGCGGGGCATAAATTTATATGTAAAAATCACTAAAATTATAATAAATAGCATATATGAAAGTGTGAGTGATATGCTTAATAGCTTGAATTATTATGCTACTTTTGTAATAGTGGAGTTTGTTCTACTTAAAAAATGAGATGAATTATAGGCTTTTATTGACAAATATTGATATCTTGAAGTGTGATATGAAGTTGCTAAACAATATTATATATGGTAGCTATCTTTAATGCATCCTTTACTAAACATGTTTTTACCTTTATATTAGGAAGGGATACTACAAGCTGCAAACAAATATTTACAGGATAAGGTAAGACACAACAAAGATTAATTTTGATTATTTTTTTGTTTTGTTTTAAATTAAAGTAGTCAGTCTTATAAACCTTTTTCTCTCATTGTCTGTTTTGCAGATAGAAGAACAATACCCTGTAACTAACATGACATCGACTTTGACTGACTTTCAATGCCCACTAACTGTACAAAATGAGATATTCCAGTTCTAACATATGCTCTCACTGCATAAGATATGCTTATGCTGAAGCATCTAGCAGGGTAATTAAAGACATGTAATATTGACTGATTAATTTCAGTTTGAAGTGATGAACTTGATATAAACATACAAGTATGCTTATTATATGTTTAATTTAGGTCAAATGATCTAGTGTGAGAGTCTCTTCATAGTGTGTATGAAGTGTAGTTACTTATTATGTCATCTAAAGCTTCTAAGTGCTTTATAAAATGGATGAGTATTTGCTAATGAGTGATTAATTCCTATATCTTTGTCTTGTTACCGATTGGCTATATCAATTATATGATCCTTATTTGTGTTTTGAAACTTAGTGCTTGAGAATCTTATTTTAGCGCAATTGCATCATATATATTTAAGTTCCTTCTTACCTAATTTTAGGGAAAATTGATTTATTTAATTCACTATACAGCTACCTGCAATCTACTTAAAGGTTTAATATAATTGCATCTTCTAATTTACGTCTTTCCGTTATGGAAACTCAAAAAATTTCATTGCAACTGTCGCTATTGCAAAGAGATCATTTCATGTTAATTATCTCAAGGGGAAAGAAGGAACAAGAAACAAATTGATATATATCACAATATCATAGGAGTATATGATTTCAGATAACATTTACAAATATTTTGTACATAAGAGAAATATATTAGTTCATTCTTAGTTATATGTATCTATTTTTAGTAACGAAAAAGGGCTAACAATACCCCTATAGTATTCTTAATAGTTTGTTATCGCGCTCCGTCCACCTATTTGTCTGAAAATTCATCTAACGTTATCTTGAGGTTTGAAAATACCCCCGCGACTAACAAAACCATCTTGTAACGACCCAATCATTCGTTTTGAGTATTTGCACTTCACTCGATAGTTTACGGGTATGAGTAGCTCCGTATGATGTATTATGACATATGTGAATCGTCGATTTTGATTTTCAGGTTATTCGGAATCGAATTGGAAGAATGGATTTCATTGTTGAAGCTTTATATTGGGAGGGTTGACCAAGTTTGACTTATTGTAAATTTGAACCTGGAATGGAGTTTTGATGGTTTCGGTAGGTCAGTTGGGTGATTTTGGACTTAAGAGCGCATCCGGATTGTGATTTGGAGGTCCGTAGTGGAATTTGGTTTGAAATGGTGAAAGTTAAATTTTTAAAAAGTTTGACCGGGAGTGGACTTTCTGATATCGGATTCAGATTGTGATTTCGGGAATTGGAATAGATTCGTTATGTCATTTGGGACTTGTGTGGAAAGTTTGACGTCAATCAGACATGATTTGATAGGTTTCGGCATCGGTTGTGGAAGTTTGAAGTTCAAAGTTCATAGAGTTCGATTTGAGGTACGATTCGGCGTTTTGATGTTGTTATGCGTGATTTGAGGCCTCGAGTAGGTCCGTATTATATTATTGGACTTGTTGGTATATTCGGACGGGGTCTCGAGTGGCTCGGACGAGGTTCGGATCACTTTCGTTGCATAGTGCATTGCTGAAGGCTGTTGGTTCTGGTATGATCACACCTGCAGCTGGTTTTGCACAGGTGCGATGGTCGCAGAAGTGACGGGGGAGTCGCAGGAGTGTGAATGGGAGCTGGGTGTGAGGATCGCAGGTGCGGGTGCTTGGACGCACCTGCGCAACCACAGATGCGGTTCAAGTGCGCAGAAGCGCGATCACAGAAGCGGCTTAAAGACCGAAGGTGCGAGGGATTTGTTGGGTCAGTTGTTTCGCAGAAGCAAAGTTTTATCGCAAAAGCGGTGTCACAGATGCGACAAATTACCTGCAAATGCGGAATCGCTGGGCAGAAGCTATATTATCGAGGGTTTTGGTTCTTTCTTCATTTTGGGAGCTATGGAGCTCGGATTGAGACTATTTGTGGAGCAATTTTCATCACAAGGATTGGGGTAAGTGTTCTCTACTCGGTTTTGGTTATATTTCATGAATCTACCTTTGTTTTTGGTAATTGGATTGTGAATTCTAAATAGGAAATTGGGGTTTTTGGCCTACAGTTTCATAATGTGAATTTTTTAGATTTGAATATCGAATTGGAGTCGGATTTGAGTGAAACTAGTATAGTTGGACTCATAATTGAATGGGTTGTTGGATTTTATAAATCTTGTCGGGTTCCGAGGTGCGGGCCTGGGTTGGGTTTTTGGCCGATTTTGGGCTTTTGATTCAAGATTTGATCTTTTTCGATCGGGATTGGTTCCTTTAGTATCGTTTGATATACTTGAGTCTTTTTTGGTTAGTTTCGAGCTGTTTGGAGGCCGCAACACGCGTGATGGCATCTTTGGAGCATCGCTTGGCTTGCTCGGCATTGGTATTGGCTCGTTCGAGGTAAGTAACTCTTCTAAACTTAGTGTTGAGGGTACAAAACCCCGAATTACGTGTTATGTGATTGGTATTAAGCTGACGCACATGCTAGGTGACGGGCGTGTGGGCGTGCACAAAGTGACTTGTGACTCTGTTGTTTCCATGGCACTGTATAGTAGTCATATTTTGTTAATATCCGTATTTTCACCATGCGATAAAGTAAATGAGCTGTCAATCATGCTAGATATTATGTTTAGGCTTTATGTTGATACTGTTGGGACCCATAGTGGTCATTTCTTGCTATTATTTCAATGATTTTGTTGATATTTCGTACTCAGTCATATTCATGCATTATATCATATCTCAGTCTCAGTTGTTATTTATTGATACATTATATCAGTGTTGTCGGTCTAGTTTCATGACATTGTGAGCCCGTGAGTCAGACTGGAGAGATTGATGACTGAGTGAGGCCGGGGGCCTGTTTGTGAGGATATTGATACTATAGCACGTGAGTTGTCCGTGAGGATCCAGATATTGATATTATGGCACGTGAGTTGTCCGTGCAGCATGTGAGTTGTCCGGATTATAGCACTTGGGCTGTAGGATCCCCTCTGGAGTCTGTACACCCCAGTGAGCATGGTTGATTATATTGAGGGATGGATCTTCCCTGGACATGGATCTTGTCCGAAGCATTTATATACCTGGAGATGGATCTTCTCCAAGGGGCCGGATTGGCCTTCCTCGGTACTGAGTGACTGATGGTCACTGATGTATATATTACGGGATGGATCTTCCCTGGATCGTATGGGCCATATACAGTACCGAGTGGTTGAGCATGATGAGTGGAAAGTGTGAGACAGTGAGATTGAGTATTCTGAGAGTGTGAGTACATGACTCATCTATGAGATACATGGCATTGGCATGCACACATGACATACAAGCATAGAGATGTATTTTTTCTCATGCTGTACGGTATCACGTCATTCATGATTATTTTTTTACACACATTGATATGTGGGCATAGAGAGGTATTTCACACTTGTTATCTGAAAAGAAAATGAAATATCTTATTTATTGTGGAAAGGATATTTGGAAAAATTACAATTTTCAATCTTACTCGTATTTTTGGCATTTTCGATAAAAGATTTGGGTTTTCACTAAGATACTTGAAAAACATGACTATTTTCTGGAACTGTGAACGAGCTGAGCATTTTACTTCTGAGATACATCTTTTATTACTTGTATTATGCTGTGATGAACTGTTGAGGGATATTTGTATTGGACCCGACCTTGTGTTAGCTCATCACTACGTTCAACTTAAGGTTAGGTTTGTTGCTTATTGAGTACATGGGGTCGGTTGTACTCATACTACACTTTTGCACCTTGCGTGCAGATGTTGGTTGTTGATGTTGTTGTGTTCGATGGGAGCTGGATTGAAGATGTACCTGCGTCCCGATTGTAGCTGTCCCTTGTTCGTAGTAGCTTTAGATCTATTAAACTCGGTTTATGTACTTTTCAAACAGATGATGTATTTATTTCATTTCAGCTTTGTAAATTCTATTCTTAGAAGCTCATGATTTGTACTACCAGTCCTTGGGGAATGTATTAGATTTAGATAATTTATTTACTTAATTGATTTATTGATTGTTATTGGAAATGGTTAGTGGTTAACTGGCTTACCTAGCGGGTTGGGTTAGGTGCCATCACGACTAGTTGGATTTTAGGTCGTGATAGGTGGTATCTGAGCTCTAGGTACATAGGTTCTACAATTCATGAGCAAGTGTCTAGTAGAGTCTTACGGATCGGTATGATGACGTCCATACCTATCTTCGAGAGGCTACAGGACATTTAGGATATACTTCCCATCTTTCTTTCCTTATCGTGCGGCATTGATTCAGCTTGAAGCGTATCTCTTTGAATTCCTTCCACGTATTCGTATGCGCATGCGAGCGCTCGGTATCAGATGTGCATCGCCGTCTTGTGATTCTATGAACGGGGTGTGAGATATGATTTCTGTGTGCTGATGATGGGCCAGTCTTGAGGACTGGAGGCCAGGTTTTGACTGTAGCTCAAGCACGAAGATTTTGATTGTGTGCGCACGTGCTTTTGGACTTATACGTCTGGTAGTGTTACTATGAGTGGAATTTGTGGCTCGATGAGCGGTAGAATGACTATGTGGTGAGTATGATGTGACTGTGAGATGCATTCAGATTGTGCGAATGTGACGAGAAGAGTTTACTTGAGATGTATCAAGGACTAAGGGGTGTCTGATTTCTGTCTTGATTTGGCGTATGGTCTCGAGTTATGGGTGTATGGAGGGATCTCTCATGTTGTTGAGTGAAGTAGATTCTCATGTCTTGTTGATGAGTTCAGAATCGAGAGGATTATGTGATTGCGTAGTAGTCGTGACTGTGGAAGGGTATAGAGATATGTCAGCTTGAGGCAGAGCAGGTGGGTTATCTCCTGCGAGGTGTCCTGAGGTTGTGTAGTCCTTATGATATTTTGTTGAGAGTTCTCTTTTACCAGTGAATGATATATGTTGCAATTTGAGTTTAGATCGCTTGTGGAAGTTGGCTTGACTATTACAAGGGTGAATGCGAGATTTGCAGTTAATGTGAAGTATTAGATGGTTTGCGTTACAGGAGCTCAGGAAGG